ATTTTAATTTTTTTTTTTCATTTATCTTACACAGCTTTAGAAATTGGTTAAGCATATTTGCAAGACAGTCTCAATGAAAACTTTCACAGGCCATTAATTTTATACCTTGTATACTATGACAACCTAAAAGAGACAGAAATATTTAACTCTGCGGGCTTCAGTTTTCTTTTTATTTTATTTTATTTATTTATTTATTTATTTATTTTTGAGACGGAGTTTCGCTCTTGTTACCCAGGCTGGAATGCAATGGCGCGATCTCGGCTCACCGCAACCTCCGCCTCCTGGGCTCAGGCAATTCTCCTGCCTCAGCCTCCTAAGTAGCTGGGATTACAGGCACGCGCCACCACGCCCAGCTAGTTTTTTGTATTTTTAGTAGAGACGGGGTTTCACCATGTTGACCAGGATGGTCTCGATCTCTCGACCTCGTGATCCACCCGCCTCGGCCTCCCAAAGTGCTGGGATTACAGGCTTGAGCCACCCGTCCAGCAGTTTTCTTATCTATAAAATATGGAGGATGAAGTAGGTAGTCTCTAAATTTGTTTCTATTCTGGCATTCCATGGTCATATTCTCTATTCTTTCTTCCCAAACCACTCATTTATTTCATTATAATAAAACCACACAACCACAGGAAATTTTGCTGAAAAAAATTTAGTTTTCAACTGTAACAGTTGACTATAACTTTACAGAAATTATAATCAGCAACAGTATTATGTAGTTTTATATAAATGGAAATTGGCTCTCTGATGATAGTTCCAGTTTCAAAATGAAGCAAATCACTGGTAACATTCACTGTTTTATTTTAGCAAGAAAAGAATTTTATTAATGTATATTTCTTTTAGATCTTAAAATTTTTGCCTGCAGACGCTAACTTCAAAAAGTTTCAAAGGAATGGTACAGAGGTGTGGATAAATTAGGTTGGTCTTTTAATAACTGGAATGTGATGAGTTTTCTGACTATGAAAGTTTTTTTTAAATGATATTTTGCTTTTATGAAAAAGTATAATGGGAAAAAGTTTGAGGGAGAAACTAGCAGAGTGGTGTGAGCATAAATTTTATAGCCAAACAGAACTGGGATGGAATGCCTTTAATGAAACTCCTTATCTTTATGATCTTGTTTGGGCAGATTACTTAACCTCTCTAAACCTTAGTTTACTCATTTGAAAACTGAGGTTAGCTGGGCGCGGTGGCTCACGCCTGTAATCCCAGCACTTTGGGAGGCCGAGGCGGGTGGATCACGAGGTCAAGAGATCGAGACCATCCTGGTCAACATGGTGAAACCCCGTCTCTACTAAAAATACAAAAAATTAGCTGGGCATAGTGGTGCATGCCTGTAATCCCAGCTACTCAGGAGGCTGAGGCAGGAGAATTGCCTGAACCCAGGAGGCAGAGGTTGCAGTGAGCCGAGATCGTGCCATTGCACTCCAGCCTGGGTAACAAGAGCGAAACTCTGTCTCAAAAAAAAAAAAAAAAAAGAAAAGGAAAAGAAAACTGAGGTTAATATCAGTACCCAACACACAAGGTTTAGTGAGGTTTAAATAAAATAATAGAAATAAAATAGTATGCCGGGCGCGGTGGCTCAAGCCTGTAATCCCAGCACTTTGGGAGGCCGAGGCGGGTGGATCACAAGGTCAAGGGATCGAGACCATCCTGGTCAACATGGTGAAACCCCGTCTCTACTAAAAATACAAAAAATTAGCTGGGCATGGTGGCGTGTGCCTGTAATCCCATCTACTCAGGAGGCTGAGGCAGGAGAATTGCCTGAACCCAGGAGGCGGAGGTTGCGGTGAGCCAAGATCGCGCCATTGCACTCCAGCCTGGGTAACAAAAGCGAAAACTCCATCTCAAAAAAAAAAAAAAAGAAATAAAATAGTATAGTGCTTATAACATCAGTAACTGGTATTAAATATATAAAGCTAAAATAGTTTTACTATTTTGGTCAATTTTACTATTATTATAAAATTCTCTATAGATAATGCCCCTGGATTGGGCTGAATGTTGGTCCCCAGAAAGATATTTGCATGTCCAAATCCCCCAAACCTATGGCTATCATCTCATATGGCAAAAGAGTTAATATCACTTTATGTGAAAAGATGTGATAAAGAATTTTGAGGCCGGTCGCAGTGGCTCAAGCCTGTAATCCTAGCACTTTGGGAGGCCGAGGCGGGTGGATCACGAGGTCAAGAGATCGAGACCATCCTGGTCAATATGGTGAAACCCCATCTCTACTAAAAATACAAAAAAGTAGCTGGGCATGGTGGCACATGCCTGTAATCCGAGCTACTCAGGAGGCTGAGGCAGGAGAATTGCCTGAACCCAGGAGGCGGAGGTTGCAGTTAGCCAAGATCGCGCCATTGCACTCCAGCCTGGGTAACAAGAGCAAAACTCTGTCTCAAAAAAAAAAAAAAAAAAAAAGATAAAGAATTTTGAGAATAGGAGCCTGTCCTGGATTACTGTTTTTTTAAAATAATAATTTTAAGTTTTAACTTAAAAAAATATGGAATGCTTCACGAATTTGCCTGTCATCCTTGCACAGGGGCCATGCTAATCTTCTCTGTATTGTTCCAATTTTAGTATATCTGCTGCCAAAGCAGGCACAATTTTATTTATATTTTTATTTATTTTAATTCATTTTTTTGGAGATAGGATCTTGCTCTGTTACTCAGACTGAAGTGTAGGGATACGATCTTGGCTCATTTCAGCCTCAACCTTGCAGGCTCAAGTGACCTCCCAAATACTTGGACTACAGGCATGGGGCACCATGCCTGGCTAATTTTGTTTATTTTTTTGGAGAGATGAGGTCTCACTGTGTTGCCCTGGCTTGTCTTAAACTCCTGAGCTCAAGCAATCTTCCTGCCTCGGCCTCCCAAAGTACTGGGATTACAGTTGTGAGCCACCTGCTCAGCTGGCAATTTATTTATTTTATTGTTATTATTATTTGAAACAGAGTCAGCGAGATGGAGTCTTTCTCTGTCACCTAGGCTGGAATGCAGTGGTGAGATCTCAATCTCTGCTCACAACAACATCTGCCTCCCAGGTTCAGGTGATTCTCCTGCCTTAGCCTCCCAAGTAGCTGGGATTACAGGCATGCTCCTCAATGTCCGGCTAATTTTTGTATTTTTAGTTGAGACGGGGTATTGCCATGTTGGCCAGGCTGGTCTCAAACTCCTGACCTCAAGTGATCTGCTGGCCTTGGCCTCCCAAAATGCTGGGATTACAGGCCTGAGCCACCTGTGTCCAGCTTCCAACTGTTAATTTTAATTGTCAGTGATAAAATACTCCCCATGGGAGCAGACCACTCCCAACCACCTCGCTTCTTGGTGCACCACTACTGAATATTCCAATACAAGCTATTTGGCCTGCCTTAGCTTTTCAGGGCCAAACATTGCAAAAGACAATTTGGTTGCTCATCACTCCCTAATCTTGGTATAACTCACTCTCCATCCTTCAGGAATCAGTAAATGTCACCTCCTCGAGGAACGTTGCCCTAAATATCTTATCCAGACCCTATGTACCATCCCCTGCTTATTTCCTGTATTTGTTTCTTTCACAGCACTCACCAAAATTTGTAGTTACTTTATTTGTAAGTTAACTTTTTTCCATCTCCCTTAAAAGTCTGTACACTCATATACTTGTCTGTCATGTTCTGAGTTATCCCCAGAGCCTAGCACAGTGGCTGGCACTTGGTAGATGCTCAATATATGTCTGTTACATTGTGTTCTCCTCAGTTTCTGTGCTGCCAGCAAAGTGCATTTGCTCAACATTGGACAAATCCTTCTTTCTTCATCTCATGTCCATTACTAAAATAAAATAGCTGCTTGTTGTCTAAGATTGGTGAAATAGAGAGCCATTTCGCAGCATAATTCACAAACAGCTGCAACGTCATGGATCTTAGCAAAATTGTTTTCTCTCGTTCCAAACTCCAATTCAGGAATGATTAGGGATGTTTTATTCGGAAAATTCATGGAGATACCATAAGACTGAATCATAAAATAAACTATAAATGTAGCTTTAACATTTGAAAAGGGACCTATATATTTTGCTCAGGCACCACACTAGGAACAACAGGAACCCAGTCAGGACCCCAAACTTGTCAAGTTCCAAACATAAGTCATCAGTTTCCTCTCTAAACCACATGCTTCTCTTAATTTCTCTCAGCTTTGCTTTTCTTTTCTTTTTGAGAAGGAGTTTCACTCTTGTTGCCCAGGCTGGAGTTCAATGGCACAATTTTAGCTCACCACAACCTCCACCTCCTAAGTTCAAGCGATTCTCCTGCCTCGGCCTCCCTAGTAGCTGGGATTACAGGTGTGTGCCACCACGCCTGGCTGAATTTTGTATTTTTAGTAGAGACAGAATTTCTCCAAAGAGAATGTTTGATCAGGCTCGTCTCAAACTCTTGACCTCAGATGATCAGCCCACCTTGGCCTCCCAAAGTGCTGGGATTACAGGCGTGAGCCACTGCACCCGGCCTCAGCATTTCTTTCCTTTTTTTTTTTTTTTTTTTTTTTTTTTGTGACGGAGTTTCGCTCTTGTTACCCAGGCTGGAGTGCAGTGGCGCGATCTAGGCTCACCGCAACCTCCGCCTCCTGGGTTCAGGCAATTCTCCTGCCTCAGCCTCCTGAGTAGCTGGGATTACAGGCACGTGCCACCATGCCCAGCTGATTTTTTGTATTTTTAGTAGAGATGGGGTTTCACCATGTTGACCAGGATGGTCTCGATCTCTTGACCTCGTGATCCACCCGCCTCGGCCTCCCAAAGTGCTGGGATTACAGGCTTGAGCCACCGCGCCCGGCTCAGCATTTCTTTTCAGTAACACAACTGTTCATCTGGGTAGTTCTCCAGATTCAATTCTGGGATTTCTTTTCTTTTTTTCCCTGCCCTTTCATTGGTGCTGGTACGGGCTCTCTTTTCTACTCTCTACGTTGTCTTCTTAGATCTTACCAATTTCCAGGGCTAAAACATTATCCCAGTAGTGTTCACTCCTTTTTGTTTTTTTTAATCAGTCTCTGTAAAGACTGTCAAAAATTGCCAGTGCCGGCTGTATTGCAAGTTGTCACGGCAGGGTATTGGGAAAAGTTTTCAATTAGCAATAATCGCATCTTGGATAAACCTCGTTGGCTGTGATACCGCCACTGCGCAAAGCCGTGTTCACTCCTAATATGTCTTCAGTGCTCTCCTCTGAGCTCCAGATATGCAACTGTCCAGTTGTGATATATTGTTACATACATCACAGGCATTTCAAATTTATCATGTCCAGAACCAAACTCTGGCCAGCCGCTGTGGCTCATTATAATCCCAGCACTTTGGGAGTCTGAGGCAGGTGGATCACTTGAGGTCAGGAGTTCAAGCAGCCTGACCAACATTGTGAAACCCTGTCTCTAAAATAAATAAATAAATAAATGAAATTTAAAAAAAGAAAAAGTAACTATGAAGTGAATATGTAAATATGAAGCCTTGAGTTTATTAACTCAAGGTGGTGCACACTGGTAATCCGAGCTACTCAGGAGGCTGGGGCAGGAAAATCACTTAACCTGGGAGGCAGAGGTTGCAGTGAGCTGAGATCGTCCTACACTGTAGCCTACGTGACAAGAGCAAAACTCTGTCTCAAAAAAAAAAAAAAAAAAAAAAAAAAAAATTCTTAGGTTTTCTTCTCCAAATCCCTTTCTCTCTGTTCTTCACCATCTGTAATGATACCATTCCCCAGCGACTCCAGACACTTGGGAGTCATAATTGATTTTTCTTTTTCTCTCACTGCCCCCCAACTAGTTCATTGATAAGATCTATCGACTCTACCTACAAATATATACTAATTGGATTTCCTTCTTTCTATCTCCTCTACCTTCTAATCCAAGCTACTACAATAGTCTCCTAACAGGTCTTTTTTTTTTTTTTTTTAATTTTTTTCTATTCCAGATGTGGTTTCATTGCTTGACTCACAGGTCTACTTTCATTCTTTTCTGGCCCCTCTCAGTCTTGCTGTCATCCTATCTACTTTCATTCTCAAACTCCTACCCATTCCCCCTCAAAACAGGTGAAGTAATTTTAAAACATAAATCTAATCACTCCATTCTACTCTAAACTCATTTTATCTCACTCTCTCCTCAACCACTATGTCACCACCGTTCATCATGACTTTTAGGTCTTTGCACAAGTCAGAGCCTTAGCACATTCTGTGTATTCTGCTCTTCCCATAGTAGATTCCTGCTCATCTTAAGGATTGATTTAAATGTCACTTCAAATAATCTTTTCCTTCCTGCCCTGTAGAAATATTTCTTGCCTCTCCTACTCTCATTTGCATTTATTGTATCCTATATATTATCTTCATAACACAGTATGTAATTAATATATTTGGTTAATCTTCCCCCCTGGGAACTATGTGCTGTCTGTTTATGTATATCTAGCTCCTAGTGCAGTGTCCGGCATACAGCAGGTATTTAATCAGTTGTTGAACAATTAAGGTGCCCTATTCTGTTTTGTCCTATAGGTTACAAGTGTAACGTATTTGCATTATGTTGCACAGAAAGAAGAAAAAAAAAATTTTGAGACAGGGTCTCACTCTGTTGCCCAGGCTGGAGTGCAGTGAGGCAGTCACAGCTTACTGCAACCGCCACCTCCCCAGGCTCAGGCGATCCTCCCACCTCAGCCTCCTGAGTAGCTGGGACTACAGGTGCATGGCACCATGCCTGGCTAATTTTTTCTAGTTTTGTAGAGATGAGATCTATGTTGCCCAGGCTGGTTGCAAACTCCTGGGCTCAAGTGATCTACCCATCTTGCCCTCCCAAAGTCCTGGGATTACAGGCGTGAGCCACTGCACCCAGCCTAAGGAAGAAATTCTTATTCCTTCATTTCATGTCCATCGTTTCTACAAAGTCACACATCTAAGACTAATGACAGAGAGAGCCACTTATCTCCATAGTGCAGAAATAGCTGCAGTGTCATGGATCTTAGTGAAGATAATATCTTTTCCCATGATTAGGAAAATTCCATACTTAATCATATAGAAATTTCATTTAACAATTGAATAATAAAATACAGGAAGAGTTAATAGCATAAGGAGGATAGAACTGAAAAGTTTTACCTGGCATAATAAGATATTTTCTTTAAACTTCTGAGATAACCATACAGATGTCTCTTACTGCACACTTTCTGTCTATCTCACAGAAATAGACATCTGTGGCCTATGCTGGCCAGAATTACAAAAGTTGTTTACAAAGGCGTAATTAACCCACCGAGGGGGCTTTCATTTCCATAAAGAGGGGAGGCAAACTAATTTCAGGTAAATCAGGCATTATAATTTGGCTTAACAGAAAAGTGAGACTACATTTACTACTCTCTTGAATCTTCCACAAGATGACAGTGTCCGAAGCAGTGTCTCTCCCCCAGCTATCCTTCAGAACTGTGTTGCATAACAGGGCTTCCCAGCAACCTGGCCTCATTTGCTGTCCCTCAAGCACACACTCTTTGGGCTAGCCTGAAAGTGCTCAAAGCCATAATAGCATTCAAACAATAACAAAAATCCCTCCGATTTCCTTAGTATCTATCTTTGAACAGTTCAAAGTGCTTCCACATTTATTTTTTTCCATAGTGCTTTCTCTGTCACACTATGACGTAAGAAAATCTAAGATTAGAGAATCTGAAGTTCAAATAGTTTGTTCAAAGCTGCAGTGAAATTACATATTGCAATCAGAATCCATTTTCCCAATTCCCACTAGACCATGTAGCTTCCCAAGGGATTTGAGACCTTTTATGAAAAAATGTTAAAACTACATGTAATTATGAGTCTTGAGCATTTTTTTCTAACCTTCTTAACACAGAGAAAAAATGTTATTTCGTGGTTTTTAAATAAAATGGATTTGTGAGGACAGTCTTCTAAATTGGCTTATTCTGAATTCACATTGAAACGATCAAAGGAATAAAAATAGAGGAAAATCTTCTATATGCCAGAAACTTTGAGGAATTTCTGCTAGTTAGAATGTAGAAGGTCCCAATTAGGAGAGGTCAGATCAAGATTCTATTTCCATAAAATATCTTATCAACCCGTTAGAATTCTACCAACATCCCATTACTCAGGGTTGAAGACTAGGTGAAGACAGGTGGAAAGGGAAGACAGGGGATACACTCAGACCCATTGAAGTTCATTTTTTATATTGTTTTGTTTTTGTTTTGTTTTTGAGACAGGGTCTCGATCTGTCACCCAGGCTGGAGTACACTGGGACAATCTCAGCTCACTGCAACCTCTACCTCCCAGGTTCAAGTGATTCTCCTGCTTCAGCCTCCTGAATTGCTGGGATTAAAGACATGGGTCAACATGACCAGCTAGTTTTCTTTTTGTTTTGTTTTGTTTTGTTTTGTTTTGTTTTGTTTTGTTTTGTTTTGTTTTTTGAGACGGAGTTTCACTCTTGTTGCCCAGGCTGGAGTGCAATGGCGCGATCTCGGCTCACTGCAACCTCCGCCTCCTGGGTTGCGGCAATTCTCCTGCGTCAGCCTCCTGAGTAGCTGGGATTACAGGCACGTGCCACCATGCCCAGCTAATTTTTTTTGTATTTTTAGTAGAGACGGGGTTTCACCATGTTGACCAAGATGGTCTCGATCTCTTGACCTTGTGATCCACCCGCCTCGGCCTCCCAAAGTGCTGGGATTACAGGCTTGAGCCACCGCGCCCGGCCTCTTTTTGTATTTTTAGTAGAGACAGGGTTTCACCGTGTTGGCCAGGCTGGTCTCGACCTCCTGACCTCAAGTGATTGGCCTCCCAAGGTGTTGGGATTATAAGCGTGGCACCACGACGCCAAGCCACATTGCAGTTTCTAATAGAACCCACTGCAATCCTCACTTCAATATTATCAAAAGCTGGACAAGCATAGACCTCTCTATGTTAAGATAAGCAAGTGGTGGTTGGGCTCAGTGGCTCATGCCTGTAATCCCAGCATTTTGGGAGGCTGAGGCAGGAGGATCACTTGAGGCTAGGAATTCAGGACCAGCCTGGGCAAGATAACAAGACTCTGTCTCTAAAAAAAACTTTTTAATTAGCCAGATGTGGTGGTAAGTGTGTAAGCACTTGTGGTCCCAGCTACTCAGAAGGCAGGCTGAGGTGGGAGGATCACTTGAGCCAAGAAGGTAGGGGCCACAATGAACCGTGATTGTGTCACTGCACTACAGCCTGGGTGACCCAGTGAGAACTTCTCAAAAAAAAAAAAAAAAAGGATGAGCAAATGGAGAAAAATCATAGGACTATGAAATGATGTAGACCAGACACAGTGGCTCACGCCTGTAATCCCAGCACTTTGGGAGGCCAAGGTGGGCAGATCACTTGAGGCCAGGAGTTTGAGACCAGCCTGGCCAACATGGTAAAACCCATCTCTACTAAAAATACAAAAATTAGCTGGATGTGGTGGCACAAACCTGTAGTCTCAGCTACTCGGGAGGCTGACGAATGAGAATTGCTTGAAACCAGAAGGCAGAGGCTGCAGTAAGCCAAGATCATCCCACTATACTCCAGCCTGGGCGATAGAACAAGACTGTCTAAAAAAAGAGAATACAGGCAGGAAAAAAAAATTATCTCTAAGGAACAAAAGGCAAGCTGGCCTCAGAATTCTGCAACTCTGTTCTTTTATTTTATTTATCTATTTTTTTGAGACAGAGTCTCACTCTGTCACCCAGGCTAGAGTGCAGTGGCATGATCTCCGCTCATTGCAACCTCTGCTTCCCAGTTTCAAGTGATTCTCCTGTCTCAGCCTTCTGAGTAGCTGGGATTACAGGTGCCCACCATCACACCCAGCTAATTTTTGTATTTTTAGGAGAGACAGGGTTTCCCCATGTTGACCAGGCTGCTCTTGACATCTGCCTGCCTCAGTCTCCCAAAGTGCTGGGATTATAGGTGTGAGCCACCACTCCTGGCAGAATTCTGCAACTCTGTGAGACACAAGTCAATAAAGCATATCCTACAGAATTCCAAGGGTAAACATTTGTAATTTAAGAATTCTGCATTCAGCCAAGTTGTCATGCAATTGTGAAGACCTCAGAAATAAGTACTGATGTAAAAGACTCAAAAATGATACGACCCAGCTTATCTGTTCTGAAAGAAAACTGCTCAAAGATATACTTCTGCTGAATGAGGACTTAAGGATAAAAAAGAACAATAAAAGGA